GGGAGGTTGCACGGTCGGATTTATATCTCTGCACGCTATGCATTGTGGATCAGGATCCTAATCCGCACTATATAGAGTGCGTGCGACGTTCCGGATACTTTCGGATGTAGCGTAATTGCGTAGCGTAACTTTGCGTATCACCTATCGCACGCCACGCAAGTTACTCTACGCAATTTACGCTCCATACGAGAGTATCCTCGGGTGGTGCAAATGAACGTCGCACATGCGGTTCGATCCGCCCGCTGCCCGCCGTCCTACTGCGCTGGCTTGTTTTTCTTCGCGCCGCTGGTCACCAGGCGCGGACGCGTCCGCTTCCTCACGGTCATGGGCAACAGCGGGCAAATGATGCACGTCTTCCTCCTCCCCTTCGACGGAGACCCCGTCGAAGTTTTCGCAATTTTGCGTGCCAATTGTGGCCGCGGTGTTTCGGCCGAGGTCGTGGGCCGTTGTCGTGTGGCCGCGGTGTTCATGGGCGGCCGTCGAGGAGGAGGAGGAAGCGGCGCGTCCGTTTGTGTCGCCTTGTCCCTGGTTCTATCGTTCGGCAGGTCAATTCGGACCAGTGGGCGCCACGGGATCAAGCTGTTCCCGTGGACCTCCTCATTCGGGTTCCACCCCGCGAACGGCGCAGGGCGACGCGGATCCTCTGCGTACCGAGTCATCACCACTGGTGTTGGTGGCGGTGGTGGCGGCGGTGGCGGCGGTAGCAGCAGCAGTGGCAGCAGCGACGGCGGCAGCGACGGCAGCGGTGGCAGCAGCGACGGCGGCAGCGGCGGCTGCGGTGGCTGCGGTGGCAGCAGCGACGGCGGCAGCAGCGATTGCGGCAGCGGCGGCTGCGGTGGTAGTCCCACCGTCTGCAATTTTGCGGTATGCGCAATGCGAATTCGGCGCGGCATCTTATCGAGGTGTTAACTCAGACAAGCTTCTGAAACATAAAAAAAACATGAATGGTTAGTACAACCGACCGAGGGACACAGGGCCCGCGACGAGCGCACCTGGATAAGAGAGAGAGAGCCAGGGCCCGGACGAGCGCACCTGGGAAGGGACTGTTCAACTTACCCGCACAGAAGAGTTATTGTCCGTAGCAGCGCGAGGCAGCTCCTTATATACCCCTGGCTCCCCACTTTTTTCCACACGCGAGTACGCCCCCTGTCGGTGGTCCAGCTTGCCCGTAGCGTTCATCTTGTTTTTGGTTTTTCTCGGGTTCGGGCGGGGTTTTTCGAGTAGCTGTAAGCCTCAAGCCGTAAGAAATTGACAGTCCATTCTCAAGAAAATCACAGTTCATTATTCTTCGACCGTAAGGAGAATAATGAACTGTGATTGGTCAATTTCTTCCGACACGACTTACGACATCCAATGTAGACCCAGCCTAAGCCTTACAGCTTACTTGAAGCAGGATTGTGGACCAGGGGTAAGAGTCGGGGGCTAGAGTCGGGTCAGAATCGGGTTGGGGTAAGCGTTTCTGCGGTGGAAACATCAAACCCCAACCCGATTCTGACCCGACTCTAGCCCCCCCGACTCTGACCCTCGGTGGAAACGTAGTCTGTGGTGCCTTGTACGAGTGTTCCGTGCGCGGATTGTTGTTCGCCCCGGTGTAACTAACGGCGGTTCGCGCGCGCGCGCGCGCGCGCGTGTGTGTGTGTGTGTGTGTGTGTGTGTGTGTGTGTGTGTGTGTGTGTGTGTGTGTGTGTGTGTGTGTGTGTGTGTGTGTCCGCTGCATCCGCGGGCCTGCCGTGGGCCCGCGCCGTTGCCACCGGCTGACCCGGTGGACCTAACCTAGTTTTCCGGGTGCTCCGGTTGCGCCCGGTGGTGGTGGTGGTGGTGGTATATTCTCAATGGGAGCTTTCCAGCAAGCGACACAAGTCGACACAAATGTCGTTCCGTTTTTCTTCGCATTCAATGAATAATAAAGAAGGAACGACACTTGTGTCGACAATTGTGTCGCTTGCTGGAAAGCTCCCAATATTTGTCATACAAATTGAAACAATGTCGTACAATTTCATCTACCTTGGACATTTTTCCTTTTTTTAACCTTACATTAATTCGAATCATTTGGCTACAATCTGTTTTAATCCTCGTGCATAGAAATAACTCGTTTGTTTTTTCCCAACATTATTTAAGACGAGCAAAAATGTCCCAACTAGATACAATTTCAAAACACATATCCCATTGATTGATTTCATGTATGATTTATAGATTACGTGGGGAATCTTCGGCTGTTTTGTTTTACAACAATACGGGGCGTGTCTGAATCTCGCAATGGGTAAGCCGACTCTAGCTTGTTCTTACCTTCGGACAGCTTTACGTGCAAATAAATGTGCGTTGGAGAGCACGCGAGTCAAAGACGCTGGTAATTACGAGAATTTTTTCTTTTCAACAATCAATATTTCGATTTTGTTCCTAATATTTCCAATTACGTTTACCAACTACTGTCAAAGAAAGAAAACTTGTTGAGACAGATCCGTTGTCTTCTCAACCGTTGTACACGCTCGAGGGTAATAAACACTACGAGTCGACGTATAGTTTGGGTGTATCATTGTTGTACGCTGGCAAACCGTCAAAAGCCTTTGATCGCTTCGCAGAAGTAGCACAAAAGGTACACAATAATCCCAAACTCTTCCTCAGAATGGCAGAATGTTGTATCTACAGTCATAAACACGTGAGTCGCAATACTCTTATGAAAAAATGAAGTAAAGTAAAGGGTGCAAATTAGTAATTTGCACATGGCTTCCTCATAGAGGAAGGTTTAAGAGCGAAATAAGAATAATTTGAATACTTTCAAGAAACATCGTAGTAAAGTTAGATTTCTCTCTTAAAGCTTCCTCTATGAGGAAGCCATAACAATGGAAGCAATGTGCAAATTTCTAATTTGCCTACTTTAATGATGAGGAAGAAATGTGCAAATTTCCAATTTGCACGCTTCAATGATGAGAAAGCAAAATGCAAATTTCTAATTTGCACACTTTCAAGAAACATCGAAAAAAATTAGATGTCGCTCCTAAACCTTCCTCTATGAGGAAGCCATGTGCAAATTACTAATTTGCACCCTTTACTTTACTTTACTTTTTCTAATTATATATTATATTGTTCTTCAGTTTTTTCAATCCAAATTTCATATATAATTCATTAAAATATGATTAATTAATCATCACAATTCCTTTGTCGATACAGTCAGCAATATAATTCGGAACATTTTAAACAACCAACATTTGGACACACGTTTTTCCACTCCTAAAAAATTAGATTTGTTAATTAGAAAGGGGAAGGATAGAATTGAGGATTCAAAACGGACTGAACTTGTCTACCAACTTAATTATGCCGACTGTGATGCGATATATATCGATCAAACCAAAAGACACATTACTACACGAGTTAACGAACATCGCAGTGATCTCAAGAAATCTGCTGATAATCACTCGGTTGTTAGCAAGCATCGTAATCTTTTAGGAAATGATTTTGATTGGTCCAACCCATTAATTTTACATAATGAACAACATTACAAAAAACGAGAAATTGCTGAGATGTTTTATATCAAGAAATTTATCAAGCATACTATAAACTTACAACAGGATACCGATAACCTGAGCTCTACTTATGACAAAATTGTACGCATTACCTGACCTGTTATTTACATGTATATATAACTATTTATTTATTTATTAGTCTTGCGCAACTCGTGTTTTTGACCCATATGACAAACGTCGATCTCTCGATATTTTAACGCTGTCAGTCTTCTGCCGACCTTTCACAACAACTGGCGTCTTTTTTAAATATTTTATATCTACTCCATATGTGTTACTGTGCAGAGTGATTCGTTCCTCCATGTATTCTTATATTATTACCAATGTTACCCGTAAGTTTTTGAGATGTGGTTTTAAAATGCGTTAGTCTTGTAACATTTGACTTATTCCACATTAATCATGTTTTAGATTTTTTGCTGTCACATCTAATGGGTTAAGAACTTTTTAATACTTGATAAGGACCAGTATTACTGGTCGAAACGTTGTATTTTCTAAACGAAATATATTGAGCCAGTTAATTGTCGACGTTATCCTTATTATTTGATGATTAATTAATTCTTGACATACAGTTCTTGAGTTATAGACATTTGAAATTTTTGGAAATCATTATTAAAGAAAATTTGCGATAGTTACACCAACCACAGACATTTCTCAAAAAAAAAAATTAAAAAGAAGGGCCTCTACCTATGTTTATTAGGACTTTTTGCTTATACTAACATTTCACCATTACATTTTGTAGCGTCACTTTTGAAACAACCAGTATAATGAAAAAGTGTTCATGTACGAATTCAGCCAAATTTCAAACATCTATAACTCAAGAACTAAT